CATCCATAAATAGCTTTCCACAATAGAGGTGTTTTGGGTTAGATCGCGTACATATATTAATGTCTCGTTAAAACCCGTCACCATCCGACACAGCCAACTAATAAGGGTTGTCACGTAAACAGAATGTGGCCAATTCGTCAATGGTACAGCACACCGGTGTGTTGGAGAGCCAAGCCACAACATTTACAAACCGAGTACTCAGTTGTGGCTTGGCTTTCCAACACACCGGCGTGCTGTACTAGTGATGAATTAGCAAGTTCTGTTTACGTGACAACCCTTACTAGTTGGCTGTGTCGAGTGATGGTGGGTTAAACGACACATTTATATATTTACGCGATCTAACCCAAAACACCTCTTACGTATGATATTGGTCGCGAAAGCCTACGTGTTAAACATAAATACCTAACATTTGCGTTTTAGCTTTGAACCGATTCCAGTGTGTTTTAAACTCATTGTCGCAAGAAGAGGAAGGTGTCACTAAAGAAACGTCAAAGAGCTACATTAAAGAATAAAGAAATGTTGGGTCGCGCGAATGAATTGGCTTGAACAAGATGAGCAGATCTTCTTGGTTCTTTCGGTAAAGTCACGTAGAAGGGAAATAATAAAATAATAAAAATAAAACATAATAAAATAATTCTCACGACGTTTCGGCCACAACGCAAGCAGCCGTCCTCAGGTGAAGAACAGGTCTGTCGGAAAGACAGCTTCTGAATGACCTGTTCTTCACCTGAGGACGGCTGCTTGCGTTGTGGCCGAAACGTCGTGAGAATTATTTTATGTTTTATTTTAATTATTTTATTTTTTCCCTTCTACGTGACTTTACCGAAAGAACCAAGTAGATGAATCCCTGCAGTCACGAAAGCTTTAAATCTAATAGATGAGCAGAACTTTGCTTTGCAAGTGAGAGCCCTCTAGCATTCTCTGTCCACACCTCGCTCTCCCAGTCCACCACTGCGGGAAAGCTTAGCCCGAAGCTTCGCACGGAAGCCCCAGCGCAATGCTTCTCGCTATTCATTATGTCGCTTACGACTGCTGTTTTTGAGGGCACACAATAATAAAACAGGCTCCTCGTCATCCCGCGAGCTCATTGTCACCTTCATTGCTATTTATTCGAGTTGTGCTTTAGAGGCTGCCTGGATTCAGAAAAATAAAAACGATAATAATGCAGTGAAGCAATTTTGCACGTCTTTGTTAGCATTCGGATTTTAATACATATTGTGAATGCTTCGTTTTGGCTTTGTTATCGATTGTTTGATATGTGCGCTATGAATTAATTATTATTGTTTTGCTTCGCAACGGCCTCAGTGTGCATGCGTCTTGCTCGCCTTCAAAATTGATTGCTACCCCCTTGTTCTAATTCATATTTCCACCCCTTTGATATGTTGACCGCTGTGGAATATCTATTTATATGCGAACTATTGCAAATTTTTCTTTGGCAAGCCTTTGGTAACGACAACATTTGGAAACTAAATGACATATAGTTTGTTTTATTTAAATAAACCCCAAATATACAACGTTGTGAAAGTTTTTATAATCTTAATAAGTGATACGTGGGTGTGTGGTTTTTTGCAATAACCAAAAACACCCGCAGCATGAAGTTTCTCATTTGTGAGATACTTTCAAATTGAGCAGATAATGTGTTATTAAAAGTAAGCCACTCTTAGCATCAATTCGATGTCACTGTCATATCATGAATATGAATTTGGGACAACCTCATCTTGACTGGCTGGTGGGATTATATATATTAGAATGTTAATATATATTGTTTTAGTATGTTCTCTGTGTGCTTTGGCTCTCGTTTATGCACAGAATCTTGCATTCCAGTGGTAGAAATTGAAGTTTATTTTTAATGCTATTTTACATCCAGTGCACCTACTGTGCACGTTGTGTCATTTGGTTCAGGATTTTTGTTGTTGTTACACAGTCACGACATTACAGATGTTGTTTGTTTTTAAAGAGCATTGAAGCGTCTGCCCTCACTCGCATGAAATACCTTGACCCAATTTACACATGCAAAGCACCATCCACGGCATTTAATCGCTTTGCGAAATTACCCATATACAAAAATGATTCCACTTGGAACGATTATTTACAGCCTACTCAATGTTTCTATTATTTTGAGTGCAATGGCATTAACACAAAGATGTACACATATATAAAGGGCGCCCCTCCCCATATAGTCTGCATAGGCTGTTGGGGCAAGTGCTTTTAGAGGGCACCTACCAAACTCGGCACCTACCAGGTTCTATTTTAAGGCTAAGTCGACCTAGGGGAGGCGCGGGACCAGTTCGCATATTTGCCACTGACATTGGCTGTTAGTGGGAATTAAACTCAGGTCTTTGGGTTTGTCGCCCAGGGCACTAACCACGACACCGCAGCTCTCCAGGGAAGCATGAATACACACAACGACAAGCATGTACACATGCATGTGCATGCCACAGCAGTAAACAATCTCTGCCGCACATGTAAAGCACATTGGAGGAAGTATTGGCACAGAAGGCCACGTCTGTCACGAGGGCATATTCTACTTTTAATTTAAATTCATAATTTTCTCTAGCCCTTTAATGTTTGCTCAAGTACAATATTTGCCAACGAATTAAAAATAATATATATTTATACCGGGCCTGAGTTTTTTTTTGCCAGCTCACGCTTGCCCAGGAGGGAGGAGCAGAATACACATTGGCGATGTTTATCTAAAAGCTTGATGTGTTTGAGGTTGCGGGGCCTTTGGGTTGCAGAGGGGAGCCTGTGTACCAGCCAAAAACACAGTGTGTTCATAAATATGTGCATGTGATGGCAACCCGTTGATTCGTCCGTTGTGTTATACTCCGTGGATGGTGGGAGGGGGGGGTGGCATGCGACGGTGTTTGCGGTGAGAAGTGGTGTAGCGGTTAGCGCTACGCTGCGCTACGAAATCCGGTGACCCGAGTTCGATTCCCGCTCATGGCCAACACCGGTGACGATCATCTGCACCGGTCCTGGGCCTCCCCCTAGGTCGACTCGGCCTCAAATTAGTACCTCGTGCGGTGTGTAGTAAACATCGCGACTGGGAAGACAAAGGCGGCCGGACGTGGCGCCGGCCACGCACCCCCTCCGTGTGCCGTGCTGGACTTCACCCAGTGCGCGCTAGCGGCACTTGCCCCAAGTCTTTTAAGGCTACACGGGGGATCTTTGTCTTTGCAGTGCTTCTGCCGCGCTATTTTTCTCGTGAACCGTGCCACCTCCCTACCCCCGTGGCCTTCTTTCATTAATTCTCAGAGGTCTGTCATCTAAAATATGTGTATTCGCAGGGACATATTGCATTGGGAATTACTGCTGGAAACATATCCACAAGGGAAGAATTGGTAGAGAAAGCATGGGTAGTCTTGCACGTGACATTGCTGTGTAAGGTATCAATTTGTTTGCAAAACCTTTTTATGTAATGTGTGTCCTAACCAATATACAATTATTTCTACGTGGACATATGTTTAGCTTAGTTCCTGTTCGTTGAGGTTTATTTAAGTGATGGCTACAGTATCCCACTGCGATGCAGTGACCTCTGCATATCATGTATACTGTAATGGTATTTTCCTCTATGTAATGTTATTTTTTATCTTTTGATTGCGCTAAAACTAACAGTAACTCTAACCATAAGGCCAAAATATGGATACAATGTGATGCTTTGTTGATCACTTTAATACAGTTATATGAGCATTAGTGGTGCTTACTTCCAATATATCACTATGCAAGTGATGCATTCATAATAGAGTTTTTTTTGGGTTAGATCGTGTAAATATATAAATTTGTCGTTAAACCCGTCCACCAGCCGACACAGCCAACTAGTAAGGGTTGTCACGTAAACAGAACGTGCCAATTCGTCACTAGTACAACACATTGGTGTGTTGGAGAGCCCAGCCACAACATTTATGTCTCCAACACACCGGTGTGCTGTACTAGTGAGGAATTGGCAAGTTCTGTTTACGTGACAACCCTTAATAGTTGGCTGTGTTGGGTGGTGGCGGGTTTTAACGACACATTTACATATTTACAAAAAAAAAACCTCTATTGTGGATGATATTGGTCGTGAAAGCCTACGTGTTAAAGTGATGCACTGTCACATTTCAATTGGGTTGCATGAAAGAGAACAACAAAATATGGTGGAATTACAATTTACAGTTGGGACAAACTTTGGCAGGATGCTTGACTAAAATGCTGAGCGTTCCAAGTTAAAATCCTGGTTGTGGTCGTCGTATCTGATTATCCCGCTGGTGGTCGATTTAATGAGTACTCGTATAGAGAGACATAAGCAGTTGTCCTAAGAATCGACAGACACGTCTTCATCATTGGAAAATGGAATTTCCACCACACTGGTCTTGGACCGCCGGCAGAGATAAGTTTCGTTATATTGCTCAGTTGAATTATCCAAGGAGATAATTTGACGTCGACTTCTGAGAACGCGAATGAAGTTTGGTTAAGACGCAATGCACCTTGGCGGCCTTACTGACTTGTGCTTGCGTGTAGATGGCCCGGTCTCATCACACGATGGTGCCCACTCACGTGATGCTCGTCTGCCTCTCGAATGTGCGCCGCCAAGCAACGCTCCGGGATAGTCTACGTTTCTGGGAATTTTTTACGTGTTCAGATGTGAATTGCCTCCGACGCGTGAATTTTCACGGAAAGTAAAATGCACGGCGATTTTGCCGCAGGGATCGAGCGCGTTCGCTGTACAGCAACAACTGACGTGTCAGCGAAGGCGCTGATGCACCACGTTGTCCTTGGGACCCATGAGTGGGCATTCGGTTAATGCCTACCGCCAAGCAACAGTGTGCAGTTTATCGTTTCTTCTGTCATAAAAAAATATATTTTTTGTCAAATGAATGGAACGTTTCTGAACGATTCTCACTGTGAAATGGACAATGCGTTTGCTGAGAGAAGCCCTCCCCCCGCCCCCCCTCCATGACGAACAACGACCGATCTGTATGGCCGCCCCCCTCTCTCTCCCTCTCCCCCTGTCGTTGCAGCCGCTCCGGTGTTTGCGAAGCGCCCGAGGGACACGCTCGCCTACGAGGGCATGGACGTGGTGCTGGCGTGCAGCGTGACCGGCCACCCCGTGCCCACCGTCAAGTGGGTGAAGAATGGAGACATTGTTATCCCGAGTGACTACTTCCAGATTGTGGTACGAATCTCTCTGGCCCCTTCCTTTATTCCCTTCCATCTCTCTCGCCTTCTTCCGGCGAGTAAGATTTGTTGCGATGCTCGTCGAGTGAATGGGTCGATTCTTAACGGGGAAGACAAAGAACTTGTTGTGAAAGTAATTTCTTCCAGTTTTCTTTTTGTTACCCCTGCTCTGATTTTAATTATGAATAACCATTTTTGTTTGTTTTAGAATACGAACCCCATGCATTTACTGCCTTCATTTGTAGACCGTTTTGTATGCAGTAAGGGAAGCTTCTCACAGTTCGGTAGTTTTAATCAATAGTCCACTGGCTGGGTGACGGCTGTATTTTTTTTGTTAGAAATATAATTCAATTTGCTTAAACCCCTTAAGCTCCAATTCCATGAAGTATGGTAACAATTTGATCTTCCAAGGCAAGAAATCTTTTTTTTTCATTCATCTCAAAAGATAACCTTGTTTTGATGTTACAAAATACTTTTTGGTAAACGATCGATGCAGGTACATTGTATTTTGCTATATGTGGCACAGGATAGGTCAGGATCTCCAAAGACATTTTTCTGTCAACTGTAAAATGGAAACGTGGCATTTTTATTTTATTTAAAAGTAACACATTTCACTCATATCACCACATTTAAGAAACTGGCCACATGCCATTGTTAAAGCATGAATTCACGTAAAAGAATGGATCGCTGTAATTACCGTACCCTCCAAGAGAATGTCATTAGGGCCTTGATATTGTGAACTTAAAGCCATTCGGTTAATTATTTACAGAGACAGCAGTTCTACTGTACCTTTAACATTGTTAGGGGCTGTAATTTAATTGTGTTGAATGTGTGTAATGTTCTGAGCCATTTGTCAATCTTGACGTAATTGGTTTATCACACGGCACCATCAGTAGAACATTGCAATGAGCTTCATGGGTAAATTAACGATTAACAGCTTATTATTCACACTCACTATCATTGATTTCTTTCACTATTTATACACTCGGTAGCCATTTAAAGTGTGCTTAAAAATGATTTAGCAAATGATTCCTGTAGGCCATGGGATATTGCAAATTCCAAAGAGGTTTATTAGCCTCGGTCTCATTTCGTTTATGGTTTCCTATAGTTATATTTCATGTCACCGTAGTTATGTATAAATCTCACCATCGGATTATGGTTACTCATTTAATAATTATAAAACATACCCACAAAGTAAATATTTTTTAAATGTTTCTGAGGATTGGGCTTTTCGAAAATTGCCATGAATTTGGACCAATTTGTTGGTGATGTCATCTCAGTAAAACACATGTAGCGATTTTAAATAAAGCTTTAATAAAACTATCCTTGTTATGAAATATTGACGCAATTTCTGGAATGCAAGTGTTTGCGTTTATTAACTTTTCTCTTACACAGTGAATATAATAGTTAACAGTGCACAAGCGCTGCGACTTGCGTTCATTTTGTGTAGAGTTTATTTTTTTGGGGTCAAAATATCTAATAATGGAATTAATAAAGTTATACAAATCGGCTATGTTTGAAAACAGGCTAACAAAATGCCTTATAACAACCATCATTAACAGCGTGGTGTATCACGGAAAAATACCCAGTCGCCAACATGTTAATGCAAAGGCCCTTTATCGAGAGAAAGACATTGAGGCCACTCATAATAATAATTTCGTATCTCTGCTCTGATTAAAGACCGTTTCTTTAAAATGTTACACACAGCTCTTTGTCAATCCACCACTATGCCCTGTCAGTCATGGGGGGGGGGGTGGGGTTGTTTCACCATACTTCACCACCATCCACGTTGATCTGTGCGGGTTGGTGAAGGGGGGGGGGGTGGGGGAGGCCTAAACTAGCTCGTATATCACGCTGTACTGATGTTAGCCACGTCTGGCAATCAAACTCGGGCGACCTGATTTCACCACCGCTTCCACACGTTTTCTCTCATGGGGCAGCGTTAACGGTTGACAGGGAGAGGTGATTTCGGTTTACGAGTGTCGACCACTGGCAATCTTTCCAATTATCTTCAGAATCTGCATCTTTAATTAGACTAGAGGAATCCGATGAGCTGTCAAGCTCTTTTTCATAGATGTCCAGTATTTCGATTTAAAGCTTTCGTGACTGCAGGGATTAATCTTCTTGGTTCTTTCGGTAAAGTCACGTAGAATGGAAATAATAAAATAATAAAACAAAACTTAATAAAATAATTCTCACGACGTTTCGGCCACAATGCAAGCAGCCGTCCTCAGGTGAAGACCAGGTCTGTCGGGGAGACAGCGTCTGAATGCTGTCTCCCCGACAGCTGCTTGCGTTGTGGCCGAAATGTCGTGAGAATTATTTTATTATGTTTTATTTTTATTATTTTATTATTTCCCTTCTACGTGACTTTACCAAAACAACCAAGAAGAAGATGTCCGGTAGTTTCATGGACGTCCGGTACAACGGCTACAAAATGTACGTCTTCCACATTTTATTTTTCCATGATAAAAATTGATGTCGTGAGCATGATTCTGTCTCGTATGGTGTATATTGCTCATGTAGTGTTAATGGCAATGAGCAATGAATTACATTATCTTTTCAAAACCTAGGAAAGTCAGCAGGAATGGCGTTAACTTAGAACAAAACTGCTGCTACAGTGCATGCATCGGCATTGGGTTTATAATTAAAGGTCAGTTTTTTTTAGATTATGGTGACTTATGAATTGGATTGTGTTCTTCATGAGTAGAAATTAGTTCGTTATTCACTATTCAGAATTTTATTCCATCTATTTCCATTGATTCACATGCAGTTTCCATATTTTGCATTAATATTGTTGACTACTGGATTGTACCTCGCAATGTTCATGCGTACAATACATTTAAAATGTCCAACAACAAATTACTATTGTAATAATATTCTGTGTCCACAACAGCCCAATATACGCACACTCACATCTTGTAAGTTTGTTTTTCGCAGTCATATAAATTTCTTAGAATAGTGCTTTCTATAACTCGAACGTGCTAAAGAATACATTTTACCCCGTAAACATCCGTTAGCAAGTGTATACATTTTTCCCGTCCACCATTTGCTATTCATTACCTACGCCGGCACCCAAACTTGCTGCGTAGAGCGCACCCCTCTGCAACGCGTCTCTGAACCCATTTGTGACGCTTTCAATTCGCAGGACGATCACAACCTCAAAATCCTGGGGCTGGTGAGATCAGACGAGGGCATTTATCAGTGCATTGCCGAGAGCGAGGCCGGAAATGCCCAGTCAAGTGCGCAGCTTCTCGTGCTGGAGAGAGGTGAGTCACGGCGGGTCCCCGTGCCGTATTGGGTGCAGCGGCGTAACATCTTCACATCTTTTTAAATCCTTTATATTAAGTTAACTTGCTTGCTTGTTTGCGCGCTTACGACCGTGCAAATCTTTCGGTCGTTTTTTAACCCACTTCCCGTGATCCAATCGAGCTGACATTTTGCACACAGACTCGTTGTGCGTGACAATTTATTTTCGTGAAATTTTTTTTCCAAAATTTTACACTTTTTAGGAATTTTTTTTTTATATTTAATTACCAATTGCTTAATGGTGGCAGGCAATCATCTGACCCATAGGTGGCAGCCATTTCAAGCCAGAGGACGAGAGGACTCTAGCCGCCCGTTTCAAATACCAATGTGATAAAAATGAAACTATTACTCAAGAAAAACAGAAATGAATAATAAAATAAAACCGATGCCACGTATATAAATGATTTATAGTGAAAAACTTTGCTTTTACGGGTTAATTTTTTATATTTGACTTGAACTGAGCCGATCTCTGAGCTGGGCTCTACGCCTCAACGTCGCTACCTTCGGGCAGGTGACAATTGTGCGCGTTGCAAATGAGCATTATTGTTATTATTAGGTGGGATTTTTTTTGGCGAGCAGACGTTGAAATTGTCAAGTGCTGTTCGTGCGACTTCGTCGGATGGATAATAAAAAACGAGTAAAGCAAACTTACGCCGTGCGACTGGAGAGGCGCGTGTGACCTTGTGAATTCACCCAAGGTCAAATGCATCACCCCCCTCCCCGTGAGCAGGACAGGTGTGGTACAATTATGGTTTAGCAATTTACAAGCACAGGCAGCAGTTACAATTGAGCACTTCGCATAACATCACAACTGCACATTACAGGCCATCGCGGGGGGTGGTTTTATGAGATGCGCATTGTTTAAATGTTCGTGTTTTACATTCGTAGGCTTGCTCATCTTTCCTTGAGATAATATTCGGGGAGGGGAGGAGTGAAGTTCGTTATGCAGCAATTGTCAATTTCTAAAGGGATTTTTATTTGTAAGAGGGATGTTTGTGTTAAAATCGCTGAAATAGAAACAATGTTCATCAATTGTAATCGAACGTACGTCATTATCGCATCATAGTAGAGTAAGCTGACGACTACACCTCTACTCACCCCACACATGTACAAAGATACCCTGTACAGCTGGCATTGTGTAAAGGCCAGCAAGGTGTGGCCAGAACCACACTTAGTTGCCATCTCTCCCCAGTGTGAATGTTTACGCACTGCAGTATGGTATTCAAGTAAGTCTGAATTGACTTGGAGGAGGCCCAGGACTTGTCCAGATGTCACTCGCCACCAATATTGGCCATGGCCAGGTATTGAACTCGGGTTACTGGGTGCATAGCGCAGTCCGCTAACAACTGCACCCTCTGCTCCTCACTTGCCTCCACACGTACAATCATGGCCACACGAACATATGCACGTGCATGGATACACACGAGAACACCATTCAGATAACAGTTGCGTATCGGGTAATATCGAAATTCCCTGAAAAATCGCTTGCAGTAGCATACTTTATTTCATTCCACGCACTAGGCAAAACTTTGGCATGCTTGCAAAACATCTACGAAGGGGTTAAACATTCTCCTCTTTGCTTCTGACATATGCGTGCATGCAAGCATGTACGCACCTTGTTGACGTGCTTGGAATGTTCGTTGCAGGGATGGAGTTTGGGTTGGCCATTAGCGTCCATCGTGGCAGTTGTTTTTCGCGGGACGTATCTGTCAGCACCGCCCGCCGCGTGGGCGATGGGGGGGGGGGGCATCACCTGGTGTCATCTTGATGCCTCTGACCCTTTCCTCATCCTCCTCCTACCTCTGCCTCCATTTCCCCCCCCCCACCTTCCCCCCACTGCTCCCTCCTCCCCCCCTCCTCCTCAACTGCCCAGCCCAGTAATGCTGTGGGCCCTATGTGTCAGTGCGTTGATCAAACATCCGAAGGGATTGGTATCGGCCTGGGATTGGTATCGGCCTGGGTTTGACGTCCACGGCCATTGGCGCCGCGATGACAGCTGCGGCTCGAGAGAGCCGGGATGTTTTTTTTCTCTCTCTCTCTCTCCACGGGGTGTGGTGATCCCGTGCGCGCGCAAGATTCTGCATTCCGTTTCACTTTAAGATATTTCTTTTCGGCTGCATGAACTCTCAACAAAGAGGCAGTTAATGGCTTCTGGTTAAAAAAAACAAGAAAGGGCATTATTGCGAAATCAACGCGCACATTTTCTCCGAGGCCGTCACGGGGGTGATTTGTTTGGGCTCATTGAATTTTCTTGTTAAGAATTCTCGCCATGAGAATGATATAAATATTGTTTAGAAACCTTAATTTGTTTTCGCAAAGACACGCCCCCCCCCTCTCTTTCAGCTCGACGTGGAACGCACTATTTCTAAATTAGAGGCACTTCTCTCACTGCACACATATTGGGAAATAAAACACGACTTCAATTGAAGTCTGCAACTGCAATATGCGGCAGTGTGCTGAAAAATATTGCTTTAAATAAATAATCGCTGATTTGGATGATCTTTAATTGTATAACATGATGAAATTCTTTACTGGGCACATCGCTGAATGTAAGCAAAGTGTGTGATAAGTCTTAAGTGATGCACAGAATCTTTGCTGTTATTGCAGCCATTTTTTACAGCTTATCGGTGGCATGTTCCATTGTTCCATTGTTACGTGTGCAATTGTTCCTTGCACGACGAAGCTGCTAATATTTAGACTGAAAGTGGACCCTCTTATACAATTTTAATGCTCACATTCAATATAACGTAGCAGCATCGTGTAACATTGAAAACAAAAAAGCGCCACAATATTCAACAACACTGTGGCCTTAAAGACAAAGATATATGTTAAGCACCACGGTGGCGAGATGCTCACTACATCTCCTGGTATACAGGAGGTAGTGGGTTCGATGCAGACCCTGATGCCTGCTGTATATTTGGTGTTTGCGTTTCTCTCTCCCCGTGGTCGCTTGGATTTTTTTTGTCCCCACTCCTCCGTTTTTTTTCCCCTCCACATTTAGAATCACCAACACGCATTGAAGAGTATTTGGCTGCTAACAAAAATTCCACAAGATAAGCAACTTCGTTGAGCTATCATTTATGGCCCAGTCACTTCTGAAAAAAGAGCTCTAGAACTCAGTAGGCCTTACCTGATGAAATAAAAAATAGTAGATTTTATTAATCGGCGACGTTATTGGGCAATGGTCCTTCACAGCACACAGAGCAGCCAGAGAGGTTGAGGATGCAACCATTGGATAGCTGATGTTTAGCTTGAGCTCTTTTCACGAATGTTACATTCCTTGTAGTATTTTTTATTCTTTTTCATTACATTGACCTCATTGTTTTATATACATTCTGTATTATCAAGACGCTGCAATTTCATTTCCTAAAAGCAGGGTTTATTTTCTATCCCCCCATTCTGGTTAAGAGAGCTCGGTCTTTTGCTCTGTCCACAAACTGCCACTGGAAAAAGAAAAAATCACAAAGACTCCTCCACCTGGCCAATGTTTATTAAAGGAATAACTAATGGGCACACGCATGGAGGGGACAAACAAAATATAGAAGGCCTTAAAAAGAAGGCGCAGAGATTAAAACGTAGTAATGCGATGCCTCCAGCATGGTAGGTATAACGAGCGCGCGTGTGTGTGTGTGTTGCTGTAGTCGTATGTTCTCACATGTGCGACGGATAAATGTGGCAGCTGTTTTACATTAAAGGGAAGCCCCGTTCACTCATTTTGGCTAATTAGGCTCAACTCTGCTTAATGCGACGGACGTGTGTGTGAATCTGTACTGCGGACTTAAATTGTAATTATTATTTTCTTACCAAAATTACCCCGACCCTCGGCTCTTATATGTTTTGGGGTGTGCGGGCGGGGGGGGGGGGTATTCCAGTGGTAATATCGCTTCTTTTTTGGACCTCTTGTCGAAATATTATAGCATTAATTCACCATTTATAGAAGCAAAGTATTGCACTCTTCTTACCGATTTTTAGATTGAACAAGGGATGTTCAATTTGATTTATCAAACCTTAACTGAAATGCTACCTTTATGAACCCTGTATTTGTGATGAAGAATGCCAGATGCTGAATTGTCATGTGGCTTCCAATTGTGGCACCTTCGGGGTGTGTGATTTTCGGGAATTGGAATGAAAAGCGAAAGCGAATTGGTCACGTCTCAATGCGAGCTTCTATCAAAGCAAGCAAGGCGCATTCAGCCAATCAGCGCCACCAATTCACACAATCAGGGGAACAGTGGAACAGTAGGCGGAGTTGCGATGGCAATTGATAAGAGCAATTTTTGAAATGAGACGGCGCTTAGGACTTGACAATGGTTTAATTACATCACTGGATCTTTTGCCAGTCCCAAAATATGATAATAGGTTTTTTCCCCTTCTTTCTGGCAACAAAACAGGTGTTGAGATGCTAAAACACCAAACTGAAACCTTTTACAAGGAATCGGTGGATCCTTCGACCCATCGATCAGAGTGCAACATGTAAAAGGAGAATGGTGAAATGTCGAACGAGATGTTTGAGTTGGCAGATTTTACAGCATTCAGAATATCCAGTGTAAATCACATGAACAATATGCTAGTTCCTAACACACTCCACTACATGAATATAAATGTTTATAACCTCTGCCGATATACACGATAACAAACATTGTTATATGGCATATACCACTGAGTAGCATTTTCTGGCACGTAATGCCATACTGTTGTGGTGCACCAAATAGCTTAGTTAATGTCTACTGTTTACATTTTCGCGAAACCATTTATGAAACACAATTATGTGTTTCTAATAATAAAATAATAAAGTTTACTTCATTGAGTTATTGAGTTGAACCCTGTAGATAAATAATACAAGCATCACATTTAGCGTGGAAACATTTTAATTATTGTACCAATACTCGTGTAGGAAGGAAAGCTAAACACCGGTGAGCATTTGTTTTTCTTGTGAACAACATTTGAGAATGCCAATCGC